TTAATAAAAATTCTCTCTACCTTCTTCAGAGATATATTAATGCTAATTCTTTTCTTTGTTTTTTCCTGGCAGGTGATGAAAACTTCTTCTAGGCTGAGTCAAAATATTTTTGACTGCCATGGTGTATGAACTCTACAAAATAGGAATAGGGGAAACTACTTTTGAAAAGGTGAACTTCTCAAGCTTTTTCCTGAACAATGTGTGCATTTACTTTTTTTGTATCGTACATTCAGAGTAACTTCGGTTTAAATAATAGTATCAGAGTAACTTCGGTTTAAATAATAGTATTTCAGTAACTTTGGTTTAAATAATAGTCTTTCACACTGGAGGTGATGATTATTTTTGGGCCGCAGGCTTGCATTGAAATACTGACTAAAAGAATACTTATTGTTCTTGACTGCTATACTGCATCTCAACTACAAACCAGATTATTTTTATTTTGGTTCACCAGTTTTTTGATGCCTTCACTGTATCTAGCTCTGGAATTATAGTGTTTTCATTGAAGTTATGTTTTTCCTTGCAGTTGGCAATGACAGTCTCATGCCTCTGTACAAGCAAAGGAGAAGCATTTCCTGGACATGACATGCTATTAAAAATTGCGTAAGACGTGCGTTGATACTAATAACTTGCTATATGCATGTGTAGAAACATAGTCTATTGATCTCCTCTGGTCCTTGTTGTCTTGTCAAATGGGAGTGTTATGAACCTCAAGAGTGTCACTAGTTTTGGATTTTGACTAAGAAAATATTGAGTGTTATATAAAATGACTGCTTTGGATTTTACGTGGTTAGTTTTAGGTACTAGAGGAGTGCGGCTGTTTGGATTTTACGTTCTGGTCTTGCTCTGAGAGGAGAGAGGGGGAAGGGGAGAAGGAGAGTGAAATTGGAAGTCTTATGTGACTAGTAAATTGGAAGTCTTGGACTCTTGTTAAGTTTGTGCATTTTCAGAATGAAGAATAATCTGTTTTTAGGCTCAAAAAAAATAACGTGGTTTGAATTCTAGGACACCTATGCTACTGTAGATCATAATAGAAGCTTTCTGCTCATGTTCCAGTCAGGGAAACAGAAGTGCAGTATCCAAGATTGTGCTTGATTCGTGAAATTGTTATTAATATTGATTTATGACATTGGTGATTGAGTTGGAGATTTCCAAATTGGACAATTCTTATTGCTTTGCTGATATGGTTCCAATATGCTTTGTTTTGGCAAAAAGGGTCCTACTTATTGTACATTATTTGTTCTTTTAGACTTGATACGTATAAGTTTAGTTTTATCATATGCTCCTGGCTTGCTTGTTCTAACTGTAGGCACACATAAGACAGAAAACTTTACACGTAAGGCTTCACTGATGTCTTGAATGATGTCATTCAATAGTGACCTGTTTTATATAATTTGTTTCTCTGCTTTATAACTACATTTGATATTTGGGGTTATATTGCATGCAGGCAAGCAACCCTAACAAGGTACGAAGTGAATATAAATCATTCTCAGGGTAAAGTGCTGCCTAGTGTAAGAGTTTCATATCCAGGTCTTCTACTTAAACCTGACGAACCAAATTTGGTATGAACTACATCTTTGAATCCCTGATTGCATCTTTGAGGCCAAAGCAGAAAAAATGCTAAACTACATACAGTTTAAAATAATAATAATAATAAAAAGTCGAGGCTTTATGAATTAGTTTACTATTCTTTTTATTTATTTATTTAATTTTATACTTTTATACTTTTTGTGAAGTCTTTTTCTCTTATTTTTTTTCAACGTTCCCCTAACTTGGCACAGATGCATGTATGCCCGTGTGTACTCAGAACACAAACTCCTTTACAACTCAAAAGAACGGTCACAAACGTTAGTTTTTAACTTGGAAAAATAAAATAAAATTGAAAGTTACTTTTGGGAAATGTTGAACTTTTATAATGAATATGGCTTCAGTGCAGAAGGCTTGATAGTAAATAGAAAATCTATATGCTGGGGGTTTTCTGGCTAGCTGAAAATGTGTGAGAAATGATGAATCTATCTGATTGCAGCCTATTTAATGTTTAATACCTTCATTAAAAAAAGGTTGTTGACAATGCTTTGACTATCTTGTAGATTATAATGGCAAAACCAGCAGGTGGCCCTAGTAAGAGAGATCAGCCTGCAGGGATGGATGAGGACTAATTTTGTGTGTATGACAATTGACTATCTTTGCTTGTATTGTT